TGTGATTTTTACATTTGAGTAAGACATTCTTCCACGTGAGGGGCCGTCTGCTTTTGTTTTTTGTTTGTTTCTTGTTTTTCTTTGTATATATATTGTTAATTCACAATAAATGACTGCAAGTTCTGGAGTGTGATTTTTTACATACATGACGTTTCAGTCTACTTCGTATCAGTTTCCTAATTTTTTATTGACAATTTCTGAGTTTCGGTTTCGAAGAAAAGTTTTGATCTCGGAGAAAATTAGGAAAAAAGATTAACGGAATTATATCGTAGGAAGTTTTTAGTAAGAATACATTTCAAGTGCTTAATAGCGAAATGGATATTTTATAAACTGGATGAACTGTAAACGAGTGACTCAATTTCTTAATCAGTCAACTAAATTCTTTGGTGTAATCGTCGAGGAGTTGCAAATTTACTTAGGAAAACAATGTTAAGGGTATCAATGTAGCCTTCAAGAGAAGCCATTTACGCTAAAATAGCTCTCGTCTCGTTTTTGTGCAACATTCGCTAAGAAGTTTGGTATTAAACTTCACATTGAAAAATTAACGCATTGAGAGAGAGAGAGAGAGAAATGTATCAATCTCAGGTAATGTTACTGCTAACAGAACATGCATTCATCAAGTGTTTGTAAGCCTGAAAATGTTTTGGTAAAAGTCACGTCTGAGCGACAATTAGAAGATGTGTTTCATGCTTCCAATTACTACGGAAAAGTATATCTCCAACTGAGAGAACGGTTTCGGTAAACAGTGCTTTCATTGGGTCGATTTGATAGTCTCTGCGTCAATGGGATCTACGCTGTTCCATAGATGCCACTGAGGCTACATCAATTGGGAGAATGCCCAGTACCTTTACCTAAATATTTTTTATGTATTTTAATTGTTTGATTTTTTCAAATAGAGTTTTTTAAGGCAATCGTGGTACGGTACAAAATCGATGGCGAGTTAGCTGACAGGGGCTTGTAAAAACAAAACACACATTACATATATTGGTGGAAAATTTTCATGAATGGGGGTGGAATCATAAACATAGTGACGGCTCAGAAAGCGAAGATTGCGCTCAAGAATCGTTTGCGCAGTGCGCAGGGTCCGGTTCCGGTAAGTTATCGCGCATACAATGTTCAAATCGTTAGTTTCCAGTATGAACTATGGGGAAGAATCTGGGGATGTAGGATAGATGACTAAAAGTATCGAACAGATTATTTCAAAGTTAATTCTAGCGCCCCAGCTTTAGATAGCTAGCAAACTGCGGGGTACTTTAGAAGAGGTCGGAAGAATAAGGATTATGGGAGGAGATTTTGAAAAAATGAAGGTCTATTGAAACTTCTGGGATTAATCCGTTCGGCAGATGACAGGGCTGAACACTCATAATGCGGTGCGCTTTAGGGGCAATGGCAGGTCGAGACGCGACCATGGGGTAACGTGGGCGTAAAGTTAAAAGGCTACTTGACCGGCAGAGTTTGGGAGAACCGTACTTTCCGGATATGGTGGGAGATAGGGGACGTGAAATGACGGCTGATTTCCATAACGACTTGCGGATATTAAAAAAGGCAAGAGATCTGGCAGCACGGCTGAAATACGTTCGCCTAGTAGCTATTCATGCGAGTCCGTTTATGGGGTTCGAGGTTACGTTCATAATCTCGAAAGGACGCAGGGGGGATACGCTGGTTAGGGTTGGGGGATGGATGCCGCGGTAGACTGGGGCAAGTGTAATGGAATGATGTGTGCTTTGCGGTTGTAGGGACGACTGGATCACATTTTAATTTGCTGTGCAACCGATCTGGAGAAAAATGGATGGGATGGGAATTACTGACTTTTCTAACGAGGAAGTAACGCT